GAGGCTTTGGGAGATGCACTAGCTGCGCCTAGTTCTGCCCTCAATGCATCCCTCCAGCCTCACCTCCACCAACCATAAATCATCCCGCTCTTTCTGTTCCCGCGATGCCTCTGAGGCAGCAAGCCCTGCCCTGGATGCATCCAAGAAATGGAAAAACCATCCCATCACAGTGTCTCCGTGGCTGCTGGAAAGCTTTTAGCAGGAGCAGAAAGGCTCTCCTCTCCCACCTGGCTCCTACCTGGCAGCTCTGCAGAGTGGAACGTGCAGCTCGGGGGGGCACACAGTCCCCAGCCAGAGTGGGCTGCACAACTAGCAATATTTAAAGGCAGGAGAGGGACCGGAGGAGCCCGTGGGGCTACGCAGACTTACCAGAGCCCACGCAGAGCTCAGGAGGCAGCAGCAGAGGAGAGCCGCCGTGATGCCTCCCACAGGGACAGATGCCTCCATGGTCCCACCGTGCCACTCAGATGGGGACCTCAGGGACAGTGAGCTGGAGAAAGCAAAGCCTTCACCTGAGGACAGCTGAATTGCCCTGGCCCGGGGCCGCAGGTGATGGAGAGGGCTGGTGCATGCTGCAGGACAGAGCATCTTCTGGGAGCACCTTTGGTGGTGCGGTCCCCGTCGAGGTGAGGTGGCAGCAGGGGCACAGCCTGTCCCTGGGTGCTCAGGGTGAGTCCCCCGTCCTGGTGGGCACTGTCCCAGCAGTGCTATAGGGAGCCGCTCACAGGCTTACCAGGCAGGGGGGTTTCTCCCCCCACCATGCTTGCTGCTATTCAATCTCTGCGTCTCGCCTGCTTTAAGCAGCTCCTGGGGCGTGTGCAAACAATTCCCATTCAGATGGGGATGGCAGAGGTTTATTGGCTTAGCCCTAGGTGCTAAAATCCTCTTCATTCAAGGCAGATTCCTCTTCTCTTTTCAGAAACTTCTCTCACTGCCTGGTGGCTCATTTTTCAGCTGTCACAGCATCCCCCCACTGCCCCTGCACTGCTCGTTCCCCTCCAGCCCCAGATTGGTCCCGAGGAGCCAAAGGACCTTGAGGAAAAATCCCAGCGAGGTGGCTGGAGGTAGGGAGGCAGAGGATGCAAGCATGTGAGCGTCAGCTTGGCACTGATGCTCCCAGGATGGGATGTCTTTCAAGCAGACGCCAGTTTAACCCTCTTCCTTCTCTTGGGGTTGCGGTGTGTTTTGGGGAGATGTGCCGGGATCAGTCCTCCTCCCCGCTAGGACAAGCACCTCATTGCCTTTGTGCATTTGCTTTGCAAAAAGACTTCACTGCATAGATGCATTTAGCCTTCTGCAGAGGGGAGCAGGCAGGACAGATGGACAGTCCTGACAGCAGGGAGTTTCCACTTTCAGTGGTGCCTCATGCAGCCCATGAATGAGATAAACCAAACAGGCCGGGCTGGTGGGTCAGAGCTGGTCCCACCGCAGCTGAAACCGTCCCCATCAGAGTGATCCCTTGTCACCTGCATCCCCACAGGGAGGCCCTGGGGCTGTCTCCTGTGTTTTGGGATCATGCCGATGCCTGGCTTGAATCTGCCAGCTCAAAGACCTTGTGTCCCTGCAGCAGCCCGGATGTCCCCCTGGGGAAATGGGGGCACAGAGCAGGGAGTCCTTGTTCCCTGGCCAGGTTGTCATTAGTGGGATGAGGCTGAAATTCAAAAGCCCTGTGCCAAACCCTGGGAACAGCAATCTCCCAACCCAGGTCCTCACTCCTAGCCCATGTAATCTGTGGCTGGGTGCAACTTATTGCTGCCTCCAAAGGGCAAAATCCTGCACAGGGTAGAGCCCCTAGAGCCTTCCTCAGCATTTTCCTGGCAGGGCAGCCCATCCTGCTCCCAACCATGAGCTCCCGTAGCTGCTTGGAGGACGCTCAGACTTTTGCTTGGCTCCTGCAGCAAGGGAAGGCATATCAACCAGCTGAGAAAGCAAAGCAAATCCAAATGACAGCACTCATGAGGTGCTGCTGCTCCCTCTGATTAAATCAGACAGGAGAACAAGCCTCCCTGTTGCTTTCCCTGCCACAGCAATCAGGTATAAATCAAGGAGGGATTAGGGGCATCTTGGGCAGCTGCCTGTCTCCCTGGCACAATTTAGCCACCGCCCCAGTCCATTGTGTGGGTGCCAACGCCAGCCCAGCAGCATCGCTCTGCCGAGCAGCATTGTAGCTCCTGCATTTGTTCATCAGGACGTTGTATGGGCATGTAGGACAGGAGAAGGGATAAGCAGTTGAATTGCAGGACTAATGTTTTCTGAAGGCTCTTCTGGGTAGATTTCTGACCCAGAAGCTGCCGGGGAGTGAGGACGGAGTTAAGGTGAGGTTATTTTCGAGTCAGATGAATGCATGGGTGGATGGATGCTGGCTGAGGGGGAGGCAGCAACACTCAGGAGCAATTTTATTCTCACTGCAGGCAAAATCTGATCCAGGCTCTGAGTTTGCAGTTAGCAAAACATCTTGGGTTGTTCATTTTTTTTTTTTGCTAAATTACTTGCTATATTATAGAAAGATCTGGAAAGCAATCATTGCAAACACACCCACCCAGCCCCATCATCTAGGCCCCTCGCCTCCCGAGATCCATGTTAGCAATCATGAGATGATGGCTGACAGAAAATTTCCCAGCAGTTTGCGGCTGCTGCCTCCTCCTGAAAGACCCCTGTAACCTGGCTGGTGACGGCTCAGCCTCCAGCTTGAGCAGCATTTCAGCAGGGAAGAGGCTGGGGTGGGCTCTGGGCACAGGGCTGAGCCAGCCTATTCCCATTATTCCTAGCACTGCAACAGCTCCAAAACAGCAGGATTAGACCTACTGGGTCATGCCAAGCCTGAGCTGCTGTGATACAACGTGACCAGAACCAGCCTGACTTAACCACCTGAAAATACAAATATAACTGCATTTTCTATACCTATGTTTAAATAAAACTTAAATACATACATATATAATGTGTGTACATATATATGTACAAATATAATGGCTCAGACTCCGGCCAGCACCAGGATCTTGTAGCTCTTGCAGCAGGACTAACAGCATCTTGCAGGATCCTGTTCCACCCAGTGGCTTGCAACCATCCCTGCAGACCAATTTAAGCAAGCACTGGCCAGAGAAAAGAGGCCGGGCAGCATCTCCACAGCAGAGAAGATGCTCTCATCTGTTGTAATTAATTTTTGCCCATTTATTTCTGTTACCAGAATACCAGCTCTGGGGATGGGTTTTCCTTCTCCCATGCTCTGTTGCAATCTGGCTATATTTAAGCTGATGGTTTAGGATGTCTCAGCCTAACCCTTGAGCCCCATTTTCTGGGATGCTGAACCTCAATGACTTCTTCTGCCTCACCTGCGGGTCTTCAGATAGTTGTGAGAGGAGGGTGAGAGCAGGAGCATCTCCCACTGGAGCCTGCTCAGTGCCTGGTGAGGAGCTGAAAGCAGACTCTGTTGCCTGCTGTGCCCCACAGGTTTTGGGGATGCATGGGACGAGTGGTGCATGGCTGTGAAAGATCCTGAGCTGATGAATTAAATGCCTGGCCTTAGCCATCGTTTGCATTAGCCTTGATAGCCATTCAGACAGAGGTGAGCATGGCTTCTTGCCTGCAGCGTGGTCTTTTCCAGGGCACAAGCTCAGCCCTGGGGAGAGATTGAGGCAAACGAGACCCTGAGCACGAGGCCAGGGGTAATGTGCAGAGAGAACTGAGCTCCTTTGAAGCAGCACTTCATAAACCCTGGTCTTAAAAAAGGCTCTGCAGCATCCACCCTTGCAGGCCTGCCTAAAAACAGACATGCTTTTCCCGTGGGTATCGCATCAGGTTTATCAGCCATCGTGTTGCTATTTTCTTGCCAGGCACCCAGGGCCATTCGCGTTTAGGTTTTCAGTGATCGTTTTGCAAGCAGCCCCCATGCAGCCCACCCGGTGCAGGTGCTGGAGGGGGAGATGTCCCCCCTTTTGTGGCTGGGGGGCGGCTGGTGGCTTTGCTGCACCGGGAGCTGATGACAATGGGCAATTGTCAAGTTGGGGCCCTTCTCATTTGAGTTTTCTTCCTTTTATAGTAAGTAGCAGTTGCTCCAGCAGCTGGCCTGCCCCTCTGGGGTGAGGACAGGGCTCCTTATATAAGGGAAGGAGCAGACTTTCCCATTCATTCCTCTGTTCGGTTGCTTTGCAGGGCAACAGGACTCATCCCTGCACCTTTGGAAAGACTCAGCGTGATGCCGCTCAAGAAACCTGACCCAAAGAAGGAAGCAGCAAAACCAGCCCCAGCCCTGGAGCCACCCAGAGAGCCTGCCTTTGATCCCAAGAGTGTGAAGGTGAGTGAGGAATGAAGTCACTGTCTTTCTTTGTGCCGGTCATCTGCCAGGCACAGGCGATGCAATGCGCCACACAAAAGGCATTTGCCAGGCTGAGAGCCAGGGCTGGAAGGGGTAAATTATCAGATTGCATTGATGCAGCAGGCTGGGAGTGATGCACTCCTCACTGGGGGGATGTTTCAATCTTCCCCCGTTCAGCCCTGCACAGCACTCACCCAAGGCACACTGCTGCCCAGAGCTCTGGCTGTGGAGTCAAATGCCCCACAGCTCCTGGCTGAGATACCATGTTAGGGCCCCAGCAGCATTAAAAAGCTTTTCTGCCACCCACTGTCTCCAACCTAAAGTATTTTGCCGCCTGTGTTGTCTCCTCCACATGAGAGCATCTTTTATCCAAGTTGCTACAATGGGAGCTCACTTTTTCCATGATTCCCAGGGATACTGTTACATTTTTAAGCCAGAGATGTGGCAGGAGAGTTGTTAATAGCAGGCTCAGCACGGAGGCTGTTTAATCACTTGAACTAGGGATGAAGCCTTGAAATAACATCCTTTCCATCCAAAACAGTCCTCACTGTGGTCCGAGCATCCCTGCTGCCTGCCCACCCCTTGCCCACTGCACTGCTGCCAGATGCGCTTTTCAGGGGGATCTCGGCTCCACAGCGAGGGCAGGAGCGCGCTCAAGGCATGGCACGGCTGGACACGGCATGGATACAGGGCCCCCCACCAAGCAGGCTGTGGAGCCTGGGGAGGGAGATGTTCAAACACAGGGGAGAACCCCTTTGTTAGCCCTGGCAGTAACACAGCCCTCATGCCCAGCTCTGTTCTCTTCTCCCAACAGATTGAGTTCACTGCAGAGCAGATCGAAGGTAAGTGCAGATTCACCTCCTCCCAGAGATGGCATTAGAAATGGTGAGACCTTCCTCCAGGTAGTTTTTCACAGCAGACATGACAGCCAAGGCCCCACACATCAAATCCCCTCCTGGGGGGAAGCCCAGGAGGATCTGGGTACCCCATTCCCCCCAACATGCTGTTCATCCTCCAGGATGGGCTCATGAGGTTCCCTAGCAGGTAGAAGGGATATATGAAATCGGGAAGTCATGTCCCCGACCAGCATCGGACTGATAAGGAAATGGAGAAGAGCGCTGGTGAAAAGGGAGGAGGCAGGAGAAGAGATGGAGACGGAAGCAATGCTGGAAGGGAGTAGGAGCCAGCGCAGGGATTTAGCTGAGACTGCAATGCCGGGCTGTTGAGAGCATTGAATGGATCCTGGCTCCTTGCTCTGCACTGAGGGTGCCCCAGTTGAAGAGGCTAATCCCAGCTTCAGAGCCTGGCAGGGAAAAGATTTTTCCATTCATGGTGAGAGATGCAGCCTGGTTCAAAGTCTGGGATTCGCATGGGAGGAGCAGCCTCTGGTGATGCAGGGACAGCCCCATGCCAAGGGGCTGAACTGGGATTGGGATTTCTCATCTCTCCATGGGCAGTTTTAATGCCTCTATGTGGACTAGGGAAGGGATAAGATCTGAGTGCAGATCCTGGTGGGAATACTGGAAGGACGAAATGCGGTATCCTGCAGGCCCCCAAACCAGCTTGTGAAAGGAGAAAAGAGAGCCGGTGGAAATGTGAGCAAGTTAAAATGTAAAGATCATAGAATCATAGAATCACAGAATGTTTTGGGTTGGAAGGGACCCCTAGAGGTCATCTAGTCCAACCCCCCTGCAGTGAGCAGGGACACCGCTAACTAGATCAGGTTGCTCACAGCCCCGTCCAACCTGGCCTTGAATGCTTCCAGGGATGGGGCCTCCACCACCTCTCTGGGCAACCTGTTCCAGGGTTTCACCACCCTCATTGTAAAGAATTTCTTCCTTATATCCAGTCTAAACCTACCCTGGTTTAGTTTGAAACCATTACCCCTTGTCTTGTCACAGCTGGCCCTACTAAAAAGATTTTCCCCGTCTTTCCTGTAGGCCCCCTTTATGTACTGAAAGGCCGTAATCAGGTCTCCCCGCAGCCTGCTCTTCTCCAGGCTGAACAAGCCCAACTCCCTCAGCCTGTCCTCATAGGAGAGGTGCTCCAGCCCCCGGATCATTTTTGTGGCCCTCCTCTGGACCCGCATTTGGATTATTCTGCAGTGACATCCCAGAGCATGTGACGTGCTCCTGTGGCTCCAGGTAGTCGGGAGTGGACATCATTGAGTGCCCTCGTAGCAGTGCCTCTTGACCCAGGGACTTGCAGGTGGTGATGTCCCTCCCTGGGTCCCCCCTGGAGCCAGACGGAGGGAACTCACCTGCAGAGATGGAGCCATTGTGAGGTCAAGTGGGATAACAGCAGCGCTCTGGGGTGCTGGGGGGAAACGTGGACAGGACTACAGGGACACAGCATGGATGTTGTGGGGACAGCTGCAGGGGATAGTGAGGATCAGCAGAAGATATAAAAATGCCATGGGGACAGCTGCAGGGGATAGTGAGGATCAGCAGAAGATATAAAAATGCCAAGTAGAAAATGGAGCAAACCCAGAGCCCTGGCAAGGATTCCCACCAAACCCAAGGCAATACCTACCAGACCATGACATCTCCACATGGAGACTGTGATTGTCTCATCCCACCCAACAGCAGGAAGAGCAGCAGCTCTGCTTTGAGCGAGCTATTGCTGGACATTATGAAGAAGATGGACCAGAACTTGGAATTCATTAGCACCATGGGCAAGAAACTCACAGCTCTGAGCATTCACATGAACAGGCTGGAAAGGCTGATTACCCACTTGGGCCAGTCAACTGCTCAGGTGGACTCACTGGCCTGGAGGCAGCAGGATGAAATCCAGAAGTGTGTGGAGCATCTGCTGCAGGAAAACCACCATCTCGCTGCCTGCATGGAGCAGGTGGAGAGGCAGGTGCCACCCACCAGCCTCGGGGTCCTTGGCTTGCCTGCAGAGGAGGAGGGTAAGGACTTGGGGGGGGGGGCTCCTGGGGGACTGCTTTCCCACATTTTGCAGCTCAACACCAGTGAGGAGCCTGTTGTAGTGGAGAAGATCTTCTGGGTTGAAACGAGGCAAAGACCAGGCTCTGAGCAGCCGCAGGAGTATGCTTGTCCTTGTAGCCAACATTGGAATTAAAGAGAGAATCCAGCAGCAGGTCAGGAAGCTGAAAAGCATCATACACCGAAGGAAAAAGATCCTTAATTGTTCCTAATTTAGGCCTCCTTCCTCCAGATAAAATGTAATGCTTAATGGCATGATAGTTTATGGACACGGGCTTGAAAATCAATCTCCCATGTCCTTCTAAGCAGGGTTGGCTTGACACGTGGTCTGCAAGGCTGGGGTGGACATGGTCACCCATCCCCAGTGCCACCCTTCCACAGCAATGCTGTGTTGTGTCTGCCTGCCTGGGGGGTGCCAGCAGAGTGGACAGGGTGTTGCAGGTGTCCTGGGAGTGCAGTGGAACAGTCATGGGGTCCTCAGGAGGCCTGAGCTGAAAAGGGGAAGAGCATCAACACATACAAGTATCTTAAGGGTGGATTTCATGAGGATGGAGCCAGACTCTTTGCAGTGGTGCCCAGCGACAGGACAAGGGGCAATGGGCACAAACTGAAACATAAGAGGTTTCAATTGAATATGAGGAAAAAATTCTTTACTTTGAGGGTGACAGAGCACTGGAACAGGCTGCCCAGGGGGGCTGTGGAGTCTCCTTCTCTGGAGATATTCAAAGCCCGCCTGGACGATGTCCTGTGCAACATGCTCTAGGTGAACCTGCTTTAGCAGGAGGGTTGGACTAGATGATCTCCCGAGGTCCCTTCCAACCCTTGACATTCTGTGATTCTGTGAAAGGGGTTGTTCTGCAGCAGAAACAGCAGCCTGCACCTGCTGCCAGTGCTGCCAGCGCAAGGTGGTGCAGGAATTCCAGCAAGATTCACCCAACCAGCTCCGCATGGGTGGCAAAACCTGCTCGAGAAGCTGAGCGACTCACTGACGGAGTCTGGCAAGCTTCGGTGGCTCATTGCGCAAGCTAGTGCAGGGCTGCCTGCCCTGGGCAGCAGCAATGGGTGCAGAGGGCACCTGCCACACGTGTCCATTCCTTCCTTGCCTGCCAGGCAGGACTCGCTCCCCGTGGGGTGGGAAATGGGACCAGCATGGCAGAGGACATCGAAGCTCTTCTTCTCTGCAGAGTTCAAAGAAGCCTTCGGCCTGTTTGACCGGACACCCACAGGAGCCATGCAGATCACTTACGCACAGTGTGGGGATGTCCTACGGGCGCTCGGTCACAACCCCACCAACGCAGAGGTCCTGAAGGTGCTGGGCAAGACCAAACCAGAAGGTGACAGCAAACTGGGGCAGCAGGGACAGGGTGGGACAAGTAATCCCTGTGCTCCATGGCAGCAAATCAAGGATTACATTCCCTGTAGGAACAGTCCTGCAAGATGAAGGAATTGGGAAGGAAATAATGCAGAGAGGCTTCATTCCTGCAAAATTCTTTCACTCCCCCTCCCTCCCTTTACATGGCTGACATAAGGGATAGGCTGTCCTCAGCTGGGGATGGTGGCAACTGATGCTTAGCAGACCATATCTTGAGCTGGTGCAAACTGGTGTAACCTGACCGGTCCTAGCGCAGCTGCATTGCCTTGGTGGCAGAGGACCTACCTACTGGTTCTAATTTTTGGCTGATATCAGCAGTCTGTGTGCAGTCCCCAGATGTTAATACTTTACTCCATATGTGCATCTTTCCACCTCAAGTATAGTATACTAATAGTCCCATCACTTTGTGGGGTTTCTTCCCTGTACTCAGATGGAAATGAGACTGGGAAGATTAAGCCGGAGGTCCTCAGAGGCTGACTTCAGCCTAATGAAGTTAATCTCTGACCCCCCATCTCCTTCCTCCCCTTCCAGAAATGAACACAAAGATGCTGGACTTTGAGACCTTCCTCCCCATCCTGCAGCACTTCACCCGGAACAAGGAGCAGGGCACCTACGAGGATTTTGTGGAAGGGCTGCGTGTCTTCGACAAGGAGGGCAACGGCATGGTGATGGGGGCTGAGCTGCGCCATGTACTGGTCACTCTGGGTACGGGCTGGCCCTGGGGAGGGGAGCAGGACACAAAGCCACCCCTAAGCTCTTTCTGGGCAAATGGCTTGGGTTAGTTTGCTGGTCTCACACGTTGGAGAGACCCTTTTTATTCTGCTGCTTGTAGGCTTTTGTAGGAGTGAATGGCTCCTGAATATGTGGCCTTCTCCATCTTATGCCACAGCTTCATGCATGATCCAGGTGAGATGGAGAGTTCATAAAATACTCAACCACCAGACAACCATTGCAGCTTGGTCCTCTCTCCACAATCTCCCACCAGCATTCCCCAGTCTGTAGAGGTGCACAGCTCCTTTTTAATCCCCTTCTCCTTCCTCTGGTGGTTTTGGCTCTCTGGAGGAAGGACAGGAGGGTTCTGGTGGGCTAAGAACCCTTTCCCTCACCTCTCCATCCTCCTCCTCCAGGGGAGAAGATGACGGAAAGCGAGGTGGAGCAGCTCATGGCAGGGCAAGAAGATGCCAATGGATGTATCAACTATGAAGGTAGGAGCAAGAGATGCCCACTGGGGCTGTCTCAGACATGGTCATCTTGTCTTAGGGTGTAAAATGTGTCCTCTGTGAGAACATTGGTGGTCGCTGAGAGGGAGGTGTGGATGACCCTCCAAAACTTCTCTCTGAGGAGAGCTGTGAGACATGTCAGCTGGGGTGGGAACAAGGTGGTTATGCCAGTGATTTCCAGTAAAAGCAGCTGCAGACAGCACGTTTCCAAGGGTTTCAGGACTGGTTTGTCCCCAGTTTTGGCATTAGTTTTTCTGTAAGCTATCAAAAAATAAACAAAGCCAGCATCTTTCACAGCTGAGGCTAGTTGGGAACATTTGGAGATCCAGCCCACTCATGGCTCCAAGAGGGTGAAAACCTGGCATAGGGGATGATTAAATGTGTGAAACCCTAAAATTGGAGAGCATTGAGGAAAAGAGGGCACCCATTTCCCTTGGCCTTAGAAAACTGGGGATAGTGGTACCAGCTTGTCTCAAAGAGGGGTTTGCTATCACTCTAACCAGGCTTGGAATCGCATGTGAAAGGTGGGACCAGAAAGAGAAATCTCAGTCCTGGCAGAGCACATTCCCTTAGTCCCTGGGGTGCCCTGGGCTGGGGGTACCCCTCACTGCCTCCCTGCCTGCCCCACCACAGCTTACAGCATGCTTTGACCTCTCATGCTTTCATTTCTCATTTCCTCCTCAGCTTTTGTCAAGCACATCATGTCTGGCTGAAAGAAGAAACTTCAGGTGAGTTTATCAGGGTCTCCTGCTGCTTACTCTGCAATTGGAAATCCTGCATATAACAGCCATGAGCAGAGGAACCAAAACCCAAACCCTACAAGCAACCCTGCAGTGGACTAATGCCATGGGAATAATCCCAGCTCTGAAAGCACAAAAAGCTGCATTCATGGCAACAAACCTCACTTGTAGCTCATGCCATTTAACATTTATCAGAACAGCATCAGCCCTGTGACTGTCAGTCATGGTCTGGTTAATTGCGTTGATTCTCTGCTTGGAAAGAAAGAGGTTGGTGTGGTTTATGGCAGTACGTTTTCTAACACCCCAGGAGCTCAGGTGGTCATTAAACAACAGCCGGTGGAAATAAATATTTAAAAACTTGCAGCAGTTAATTACTTGATGCTAAGAAAATACGAAATACTTAGCAAGGAAATTTCTATACTACTGTGCTAATAGTTAAGAAATATCAACATTCCCATTAACATTAGAAAGAATAGGGAAAACGTACCATTGATGCTTGTTAAGCTTTTTGTGTTCCTCTAAGTCTGCCTGAGGAAAACGGAGAAATGGGTTTCTTTTAGGATGAACTATCCCTCAGAAATCTATTCAATTTAAAAGAAAATCAAAATCACTAAGAGCTGGCTCGAGTCTCCCCTGCCAGTTTCTTATGGCTTCATTATCTCACTCACTCACTTAAACAGTTTTCCCCTCAGCTGTGTGAAAGGCAACAGGCAAAAAAAAAAAAAAAAACACCCAACAAAAAAAACCCTTCAGATACTGCTAAATACAGAAATTAAACATTTTTTTAAAAATCTCGTCTTTTTTGCGCTCTACAAATCCCTTTAAACATCAGAAGGTTAAAATGTTGGCAGATAGAAGTCTGAACTTTGAACGTTCAGCATCCTAGGTGGCAAATGCTGCCAGGGAGATATAATTCTGCACAAAAGTATTTGCATCAAACACTGTTTTTTTAATGGTGTGGAATTGTAGCTATTGACATTTTGGATTCATCTGAGAAGGAGCATTCTTGTCTCAAAGATTCATTGAGTTAAGCCCTCTCATGCTTGTCTCCCAGGCTCTTGGAAATGTTTGAACCCACCTGAGCACCACAAACAGCAAGATTCCTCCATCCATGTCCTTTTCTCCCTGGATGTCGCACATCTGCAGAGATTCTTTGCATGAGCTACCATGAAGAGGTGGCCTTCACACGTCTGTGCCTAAGCCTCAGTATACAATGAGACATCTGCAACTTGGTTTTAAACTTTAAGTTATTCTTTTCAGGTTTTCCATTTGACATTTAGCTCATTAAATTGTGTTCCTTACTCTCTTAAATGGTATCTGCTTTGGCTTTGAAATACTCATTGAAGCGGTAGATGGAGGAGAACCTTCGGTCTCCAACAGCAGTTGTTGATGGCAGGATGATCCCACAGTGAGGGGAAAAGGCAAGCCTTATCACCGCTAGATGTGAGGGAGGAGTTCAGACTTGGGGGTGAGGGTCTTTGTTCATCACCCCACCCTCAGTGTGGGGCCAGGAGCTGGGCTGCAGTCTAGCCATGTCTTGCTGATGGAGGTAGGTAGGCCCGGAGCAAAGTAAGCACGAGGGACATGTTGCGTCAAACAGGACCCCTGTTCTTGGGAGGTTTCCAGCCTACAACATACTGCCCCATGAACATTCCCTCCACGTCCAGGCTGAACTGCACCATGGAGCAAAGAGGGACCTGCTCGGCCCTGCTACTGTCCCTGTCACAGGAGAGACCAGCGGGCATCTCTCTTTCATCAACACGCTGCCTGTCCCAGCCAAAAAAGGGCAGAGGCCCTTTAAAAAACCAAAAACATCTGAGAAAATATTAAAACCATTCTTCATTCTGTATCATTGACAGGTCCAAAAGTCTAGTTTTGAAGGGTGGTTTCCAGGAAGTTGAATCCCGATGAATCAGCAAGGGAGAAGGAAAACAGGAAAGCAATTGGTATTTCTGGGCCAGGTCGCACCTCATGGCACAGGATGGTGGGTCACTGGAGCGCAGATAGTCTCCTGCCTGGGATGGAGCCCAGCCAGGGCAGGGCTCCCTGGACAGTTCCTCTCCAGGCAGATGGTGTGTTCGCAGCCAGAAACTGCCCGGGGCGGGGGGGGAGGGGGATGCAGTGCAAGCTGGTGGCTCTCTCCCTCTTCCTACCTGCACAAAAGTTATCATAGCATCATTAGAAGTGGTGAATAATTCATGACAGATAAATCAGCCCTCCCATCAGCAGAACACCTGGGAGCAGAAAATGCTTTTCTTTGATTTGTTCCTTATTCCAATGTTCTCACTCCGTGACTTTGACTAGAAATTGAAGGCGTTTTACTCCAACGTGGTTGACTTCAGCTGCCACTTGCTCATTTCTGTGCAGTGACTGAGTAACAGCTGCTTTCAATTCCCACTGCTTGATTCAAATGCTCATAAAAAGCAACATAAGCTGACTAGATTTTTAGCTTCTGTCTGTGGTATTGCTACAGCTTCCATTAGGGAGAATCTGGGCATCTTGTATCTTTAATGCACTACCTGTGTTTTTTTAACCTGTTAAAGAACCGTGGTGACAGGGTGAGAAAGGATGCTGCTTGCTACACACTCACTCCAGGGTCACGTTTGCCCTTGCCACCACTGTGGCATTGGCTCCTGCAGAGGAGGCTGCTGTTGCAGAGAGGAACCAAGCAGAGGAGAGGCAGGGGACCTGCCTGAACTTGCAGAGGAAATCCATAGCAGAGGCTCGGGGCCCTGCTAGCTGTGATATTCCTGCCCTGGCAAGCCAAGAGGCTGCATTCTCGCTCCTATACGCAGAATACAAGCCTTGTATTTGAGCCCCCAGCTTCAGTGCAGACAGGAATGACGCTGTAAATTAAAACCAAAGAGACTCCTGCAAAGAGACAGACAGAAAGAGCGCAGTAGAAAATGATGGAGAGAACTAGAGAAAAATGTGGAGGCTGTGAAATCCAGCCTTTGAAGCACCCTTGGGGTTACAAGCCAGCCATGCTTCCCTTTGGGGACCTGTTCTGTCTCTTTAGGATAAAGCAGAGCTGATTTGTACCAAAGCAGGTTGGAATGATGCACTTGAACAGGCACAGTATATACCACTGTATCTCTATAGCTATATACCTCTACATGCGCCTTCACGCCCTGCCTCCTCGTCCTCTGGGAAAGCTGAGGATCCCGGGGAGGAGACAGTTTTAGTCCCATGGACATTTATAAAAAGCATCTGTGGACACCCATGAGTGACCGCCACATGCAGACCTGCATTTCAGGTCTGGAGGAACCTCTGTAAGTCGTGATGTCCCAAGACAATAGCCAACACTGTCCTTTTATAGTTCAGACACTTTACTTGCAGTCCAGGAGACTCTGAGGAAAGGTAAAAATAACCCCCCCCACTCTAAGGAGGGCCTTTGGCTGTGTCTCCTCAGGCTGTGATAAAACAGAGAGACTCATACCAAAGATGGTCTGAATGTCAGGAGAGTTAGCACTGAGCCCTGTGAAATGGAAGAGACAGATGGAGCCAGCTTTCATCCTGAGGAGTTATCAGCAGTACAGGGCAGGGCAGTGAGATCGGGATGAGGACGATGAGTATGAACTGTGCTCCTTGAAAGGTTCCCTCTGACCCCCAGACCATATGCACATATCACCATCATCACCATCAGCATGTGAGGCCAAAGGCCTTTAGGGAAGGCAGACACTTCACTGTATCATGTTGTGCTCACCCTTCATGCTCGGCAAAATGACTAGGGTCGACCTGAGAGCAAGCCAGATATCCATCCCTGGGGGAAAGCACTGCTCCATGACCCATTTTGTTATTTGTCTCAGGCCAGGGACTGAAGAAAGCTTTGCCTTTCCATGCCAACCTGCTCACACCCTGAAAGCAAACACCTGCAGATTTACTAGAGCAATAACAAACTTGTAAATACGCTTTTCAAAAATGTGGAGAAAGATGTGTAAACAGAGTGGGGAAGCAGGCAGGCCAAGCCCTCCTACTCTGCATGCAACTTTTCAGCTTAAGCACCACGCACACAACTTTTCTTCTCACATAAAGACGCAGCCCCTGCTCCCACATGTGGTCTACAGTGCTCAGCAGCACATCAGGCAGTGCCAGGATCTGTCCTTCAGGGGGCTGAGTGCAAGTGCAAAAAAAGGTGTTGGAAGGAGGAGAGAGCATAGAGTCTATGTGCATAGGTGTGCACGCATGTGCTGGGCGTAGTGTTATGCGGTTGTTGTATTACAGCAAGCCTATGGAGGGGTTTGGAGGACGGCCTCAGCTGGTTGCAGATGGCTATTAATAAGTCAGTATTTTTAATAAACTGGAGTTTAGTTGTGCATCTTTATTCCATCCTTTTGGGAAAGGAAGAGAGCTCTGTGCTAGGAGACATCAGACAAAGGAGCACCTGCAAATAGATTTAAGTTCTAATTGTCAAATTACCCCCCTTGCCCTGGTACCCCAATCTGCCTCCTCTTACTCCTGGCTGTCTTAGCTGTACCTGCCTGGGGAGAGCTGGCAGGACACAACCTCAGGACTCCCCTGTCAGTGATGGGGGCAGGACCTGTGCCATGCTGACCCCCGAGACAAGGGAACCACCAGCCAGAGCCCAGCACCAGGGGCCGGTCGACACAGCACAGAAAAGCCCCCAGTTATGGCGGGAGGGAGACGGCAGTCCGGCACTGGGCGGGATGCCTGGCGTTCCTGACAGGCCGCTGCAGCCGGGACAACCCAGAGCCCCGTTTTTTGGTACAATGTGCAAGTTTCTAACCTTGCATGGGTGCAAAGGCGCTTTGAGGGACGAGCCCTAGGCCCCGGGGGGGGGTTCCA